GGGGCGCCCCAGCCAATGGCAGCTCCTACCCGCTCCCTCCTGCAGTGCATGCACGGGGCAGCACACAGCACCCACACTTGCAGTGCCCCCATGCAGTGCCCCGCTCCAGCCCCCCCGTGCAGTGCCGTGCCCCCCGGCACTCACCCAGCAGTCCTCCGAAGGTGATGGCCGGTGACAGCGCGGCGAAGTAGATGAAGATGACGGCCGCAATGCACTGGGGGTTCAGTGCATCCCTGAAGTCGCTCAGGTACTTGGGGTACCGCCGCCGCACGTCCCGGATCAGCCCCCCAAAGGGCCGGCCCGTGCGCCGCAGGGGGTCATCCTCCTCCTCGCCCTCACCCTCCACCACCTTCAGCTTTAGCAGCGCTGCACCCCGCGGACAGACAGACAGACAGACGGACAGTGAGACCCTGCCAGCCGGGTGCTCCCACCCAGACCCTGCCCCAATCCCACCCTGCTCCCAGCCCCGCCGGCACCTTTCTCCTCGGGGGACTTGGGCTCCAGCAGCAGCCGCCGCTCCTGCTCCTCCCTCTTCTTCAGCATCTCGCGCTGGAAGTGGGCAACACTGCGCAGCAGCTCTTCGCCCTGCACCTCGGAGGGCGGCAGCACGACGCTGCAGTCCAGGAACTCGTTGATGGCGTTGAGGAGGTCATGGCGGTCATCAGCCAGGTATGCGGCCTCGTGGAATTGCTGGTGGGGTGATGGCGGGGTCAGAGCTCCCGTCCAGAGGCACGGCGGGGCCCTAAGCCCAGACGTGGGTGCGTGGCCCTGGCAGGGATGCAGTGCTCACCTTGTCAGACATGAGGGTGGAGATGGAGCGCCCGATCTCGTGATAGTCCATGTGGGTGCTGCTGGGCCCCAGCAGCACAAAGAGGAACCGTACAGGGACGGGCCCCTCCAGCACCGAGTCCAGCTCCACCGCCTCCTGCAGCCGCACAAAGGCCATGGTGGGCTGGTCCAGGAACTCCACGCAGCCTGGGGGGGCACAGGGGGTCACCACGGGAGCCCAGCATGTGACTCCCAACCCCCCCACCCTCTCCAATCCCCCTGCCACCCCTCCATACCCACAAGCACCACCGTCGCCTCGGCATTGTCCGGGATCTTCTCCAGCAGCTTCAGCTCGTGCTTGGACTTGGAGCGAGTGATGCCAGCCGGGGGCGTGGGGGTGAGGACCTCCCTCTGCAGGGACAGAGCACGCAGCAGGGCTGGGGTCAGGGCCTCTCCCGAGGATGAGGAGCGGTGGCAGGCTGGGAGGAAGGCATGGGCAGAGGGCTGCGGATGGTGCGGCACAGCCATGGGAGCCAGGCTTACCTCCCGCTCCACATCAACCCGCGTGTCGTGCTCCACAGCGTGGCCGGCGATGAGGGGCTCGGTGACAGCCGGCTCACTGCCCTCAGCCACGTGGTTGGTGCTGTGGTGGTGCACGAGCAGGGAGCCCAGGCTGCCGGCCGAGATGTTTCGGGGAAAGAAGTCCTTCTCATCGCTTGGGTGGCTGTGGGACAAAGCCAGGGCTGTCCGTGGCGGCCCAATGAGAGAGCAGCCGGCAGCCTGGCACAGCCATCCCTGCCGGCACACTGCACACCAGTGGCCCCGGGGACAGCACTGTCCCCACAGCTGTGGGGAGCAGAGCCTGGTGGAGGCAGGGGCTGCGGGTCCCTGCCCCCCTGCGCTCACCTGTGCTTGAGCAGCAGTGCCCGCAGCACGTTGGCACGGTCCTCGGCCCGGATCTGGTCGGTGATAACCATCTGCTCCACCACCTGGTGAGCCACCCCCGGCAGCGTCTTTTGGTCCAGGTCAAGGAGCACGGCCCCTGGGCGAGGAAGGGGGGGCTGAGGTGAGCGGGACCAGGACTCCCCCTGCCCAGGCCCTGTGGGGCCAACCCTGCCTCCCTACCGTGGGAGAGGGTCTTGCGCAGCTCCAGGAGGCTGCGGAAGGACAGGGAGGCCACGTGGGGCTTGCCCCAGCGGTCTGTCTCCTCCTCCACGTCCTCCTCAAACTTGATCCAGCGTGCCGTCTCCTTCCACTGCAGCTCCTGGTTCTTGTCCACCACCAGCTCATTCAGCTCCACGAACACCTGCCGGCACAGCCGGGCCAG